CTGCCACCACCGGCTTCCCACAAGCCTCTCAACCTCCCCCACTCCTCCTGTTCTTGAGGCCGATTGGCTGGGTCATGTGGGCGGAGCCAAAAAGTTCCCCAATGAGCAGCTCTGTGGTCTGAAAGGGCAGGGAAACAGCCCAATGAGCATCACCGCAAAGGAGCCAATCAGCTAGAAGTTGCTGGGGCCGCTGTGAGCCAATCATCAGCTGGCAGTCTGAAAGGGTGGGGAAACAGCTCAATGAGCATCACCGCAGAGGAGCCAATCAGCTAGAAGTTGCTGGGGCCGCTGTGAGCCAATCATCAGCTGGCAGTCTGAAAGTTTGCTGGGGCCCCTTCGGCTGTGGCTCTCAACAGGGCGGGCCGCGGGGCGGGCGGCGGATCAGTCAGCCTGGATCTCCGGTCGCACAGTTGGCTCGCATTTGAAACTCAGTAACAGCTCCTCGGTGATGGAAATCCTTCCTCTAGGTTTTGGTGCACCCCAATTTTGATGGAAATTCCTAACAAGATAGCTTTTTGTCATTCTAACTCGTTATTCACCTGCGCAGTGACGCGGTACACAGGGTGTGCTGCACTCTATTCGCGGCCATCTTGGCTGTGTCACCTAGTTTTTCTTTTAGAATTATTTCATTCTAATTCTTCAGTATTAATAAGGCCCAGAAAGACTTGTTGCAAATCATACAACTAACCATAAGAACCTAAACCATAAGAGAGCCCTTTCTCTCTCTCTCTCTCTCTCAGTGGTACACTGGGGGTTGAATCCAGAGCCACTGGGCTACATTCCCAGCTTTTTTTCACTTTTTTATTTGGAACCAGCGTCTTGCTAAATTTCCCAGGCTGGCTTTGAACCACCTGGCTGATCTTTTTCGTAACAACCTTTAATAAGCCATGTTTGATTATCTTGTATTCTTTGATCATGTGAGACATTAACTCCCATTAATAATTTTATGGTTCAGGACTGCCCTTAGATTGTAGATATCTTTATACATAACAATAAAAATCTTAGCCTTTAGAATGTTCCTTACAGAATACATTTGATTTCTAAAAAGAATACATATGGTTTCCTTGGGAACTTCCCTGGGTTTTTTTTTTATCCTCCTTCGAATTATTCATGTTTGAAAAATTGAAATTACATTTTCAAGTCTACCAATACTTTGAGTCATATTTTCTTTTAATTTTTTTCATGTACACAGGTCTTATTATCTTCAGGCTTTTCTATTCACTCAAAATGGGTAGGATCATTTTTTGGCAGGGTTCTCATCACTTTCTGGTGATGCCTGCACTGGTTGATGACTTGGTTATATCTTTGGATATCTGGGCCCATGACTAAAGTTTATGTCATTTATTCCAGCTCCTCTTTCATCCTGATAGTAAGAGTAAAGAATGAACTAAAGATTCTGGTGATATATCTCAGTTGGTAGAGTGCTTGCCTTAGAGTGCTTATCTTGCATGCACAAGGTCCTAGGTTCAATCCCCAGCACCACCAAAAAAAAAAAAAAAACAGAATGAACTAATGGGGGGTTGTGGCTCAGTGGTAGAGCCCTTGCCTAACACCTGTGAGGCACTAGGTTTGATCCTCACCACCACATAAAAATAAATAAAATAAAGATCCATCAACAACTTAAATTTTTTTAAAAAAGGATGAACTAAAGTTACCTTGGCCATTCACAATTACTGAGGTTTTTTGTTTTTTCACCATAGTCACCTATATTTAAAGATAAAGTAGGATTACTTAAGACTTTTATTTATCACAACTTTGCTATCAGGTTATAAAGAAAGAAAATCTCAGATTAAAATATAATAAAATTAACATATCCATCATATCACATAATTACTCATTTTGTTTTTTACACATACATCTTTTTTTTTTTCAGTACTGGGGATTGAGCCCAGGGACATATCCTGTACTGAGCCACATTCCCAGTGCTTTTTACTTTTTATTTTGAGGCAGGTTCTTGCTAAGTTGCCCAGGCTGTCTTTGAACTTTCCCTCCTCCTGCCTTAACTCCTTGAGTTGCTGGGATTGCAGGCATGCACCACTGCACTCATCTATACATAAATCTCAGTGAACTAATTTCATCAACAAAAATCCATTCGTAACATTCAGAACACTAACAAAACTCTGGTGTTGATCAGAAGTACACAGAGCTAAAGCGTATGTAGTAGTCACCTGTGGAATGTGGATTAAATGTTAGTTAACCATCTCTTAAGTACATGTTCCTAATAGAATACAGACCATCATTAGGGTGTGGATTTAAGCCAACACACATACTGGTAACACATGGTTTATGCTAAAGTATCTGAAAAAAACTGAAGTTGACTTACAATGGATCATAATCCAAGCCTCAATCCAATTGTCCTTTCTACCTGACTTGTACTGTCCTGCTCCCAATACAACACTAGTAGGAATTTTGTAAATAACAAAGCAATACATTGTTGCTTTGTTATTTGTGTGTCAATTGTTTAGCTTAATTGTCATTGAAAGTGACACTGTGTAAATCCTAAACAGAGAAATAAGGCAGAATCCCAACCAGGGATGACCACAGGGAAGATGATAAGGATATAGATGGGTTGATAATACAGTAGAGGTAAGCTTCTCAAGTTAGTTGAGGCCTTGGTATGTCCACAAATAACTTTAATAAGTATGCTTTCTAGTTATAGGCATCATGACCCCACTCTTTTTTCAGTCCATTCTCACACAAGAAAAATAAAGATTTTACAATGGACATAAAATATCAGATTTTACACAAAAGGCAGGGGGAGAAAGAGGAAATAAACAATTCTTTTGAGTAAACCCTTAGGAAGATCTCCTTTTTAAAAATATTTTTTAGTTGTAGTTGGACACAATATCTTTATTATTTATTTATTTATTTAGTAGTTGTAGATGGACAGAATGCCTTTATTTTGTTTATTTTTATGTGGTTCTGGGGATCAAACTCAATTCCTCACATATACTAGGCAAGCACTCTGCCACTGAGCTATAGCCCCAGCCCTATTCTATTTATTTTTATGTGGTGCTGAGGATCGAACCCAGGGCTTCGCAGGTGCTAGATGAGCACTCTACCACTGAGCCACAACCCCAGCTCCAGGAAGCTCTTCTTAAGACAACTATCTTGCTATGAATTTTTTATCCTAATAATAAAGACAGTATTCTTTTGGTAATTTCTGTACATAGAATAGGACATTTTGGAGGGCTGAGTGAGAAAATTAACTTATACAATAAAATCTTTTATAGCTTCATCGCATAGAATGAAATTAATTCTCACAAATTTTTGTTCTGTGCGTGAAGCCATTTATGCTTCTAACCAGGACTTGGAAAAATAGCATCTTTTTTGGTTGTTTTGTGCCAAGGTCATTTGAAATTACATTTTATAAGCAATCTTTCAGAAGAACTAGTCAATATACTTGCTTTATAAAAAAATATACAGCTTCAATGAAGATCCATGTATGACTTTTATAGTTTCATTATTTTTCTATCAGTGATACAATCTATTGATTTTTCCCATTATAATTTTTTTTAGTTGTGGATGGACATAATAACTTTATTTATTTATTCATTCTTTGTGTGTGTGTGTGTGTGTGTGGTGCTAAGGATTGAACCCCATGCTTTAGACTTGCTAGGCAGGCTCTCTACCACTGAGCTACAACTCCAGCCCCTTTATAAATTTTTGTACCTATTATATTCTAAATTCATTTTTTAAAATGAAGACATTTTATTATATAAACAGGACATGTTCTTGGGCTGGGTTTGTGGCTCAGTGGTAGAATGCTTGCCTAATACACATGAGGCACTGGGTTCAATCCCCAACACCATATAAAAAAGCTAAATAAACAAAATAAAGGCATTGTATCCATCTACAACTAAAAATTTAAAAAAAATTAAGAGGACATGTTCTTTAGATCTTAGAAATGCAGAACTCAATTGTCTAAAAGTGCTGAGGAGAGATTGATGGGGAGGGTTGCTAAGATAGTGTTTCTCCTTTTTTAAAAAAAAATTTTTTAGTTGTTGATAGATCTTTATTAATTAATTAATTAATTTATATGTGGTGCTGATAGTTGAACTCAGTGCCTCACACATGCTAGGCGAGTGCTTTACCACTGAGCCACACCCCCAACCCTGTTTCTCCTTTTTATTTTTTTTTAACTTTTTTTTTTTTAAGAGAGAGAGAGAATTTTAATATTTATTTTTTAGTTATCGGCAGACACAACATCTTTGTTTGTATGTGGTGCTGAGGATCGAACCCGGGCCACACGCATGCCAGGTGAGCGCGCTACCGCTTGAGCCACATCCCCAGCCCCTGTTTCTCCTTTTTAATAATTTTTCTAATCAGGTACAGTGGTGAACATTTATAATCCCAGTGACTCAGGAGGCTGAGGCAGTAGGATCGCAAGTTCAGGGCCATCCTGGGCAACTTAGTGAGATCCTATCTCAAAATATCAAAAAATTAAAAGGACTAGGAATGGGACTCAGTGATAAAGTGCCTCTGATATCAATCCCCAGTAACACACACACACACTCTCTAATAATTTTCTTTCTATTTTATCAAAATGATACACTGTTGTCATAGAAAAAGTTGAACTACAGCAAGCATAAACAAGTTCTGTTACATGGAGTGAACCATTAACCCTGAGTCCCCAGCCAATGCTGGAGAGAGATGGCAGGGGACACAAAAACCAACATTGGCTGGGGACTCAGGGTGAAAGTGAGAAACCTGATTCCAGGGTTGTTGGAGAACAGCTGGCTACAAGAACCATAGTGTTGGGCTGGGGATGTGGCTCAAGGGGTAGCGCGCTTGCCTGGCATGCGTGCAGCCCGGGTTCGGTCCTCAGCACCACATACAAATAAAGATGTTGTGTCCGCTGATAACTAAAAAATAAAATATTAAAAAATTCTCTCTCTCTCTCCCTCTCTCTAAAAAAAAAAAAAAAAGAACCATAGTGTCACAATGGGCCAGGGTGTAACATGTGCAGTCGAGGGGAGAAATAAAGAATGTCCATATGCTTCTGCCCTTTCCAATGCTTTATTGGAAAAAAAAAATCACTCAATACAATTCTACTCTATAGGTTTGTTTGTTTGTTTGTTTGTTTTTGTGGTGCTGGGATTGAACTTAGGGCCTTGTTCATGCAAGGCAAGCGCTTTACCAACTGAGCTACATCCCCAGCCCCTCTATAGGTTCTTAATGAAGAAACTGACAATCCTAATGCTGGGAACTGCAATAGACATAGTCAATTCAAAGAAAACAATTGTAAGTCAACTCTAAGCACTGCAAACACACTTAATCATGACAGACTTATTACAGACATTCCCTCTGCATGCTCTGCTCAACTGCCAGATCTAAAATCTCAAGTCTTAGGCCTTAAGTCCAGCAGATGCACACTCCCTTAGTCTGCAGTGACCAGGTCAGGAACTGATGGAGGCTTCTCCTGGGGTGAAGGTGACATCCAGCTGAGGAGAAGGTCATAGGGAGAAGTGCTGTTCTTACCAGGGTCAAGATGTGGCTGTAGTTTGAGAATGGTGAGGATGATGCAGAGGATCAGGCAGATGATGAGAAGAGTTGGTATATCAGTCCAGGTCCTCATCAGGCTCTCCACGTGTGGGCATCAGTGTCGGCTGGCTGAATGTCTGTACATTTGCTCCATCATGTATGCTAGATTTGGGGGCTTCTACTTGCCTTTTCAATCCCCATCAGCTGTTACCAGGTTTCTCAGTGACATCTTTCATTCCATGGTCAGGACATCTGGTCTAGTAGTTTCTGCCTGATCTTTCACCTCTAACTTTATAAGAGTGAAGGCAGTGACTTCATTCTGAGTTTTATCAGGGTTGTGGAAAATGACTTATTTTATCAAGCTGTGCTTGGTGACCATATTGGAGGGCTCCATAGCTTGCCTGGTGGGGACTGCAGTTTTATTTTAAAATGGAGTTACTTAGGCTAAGGCCTTCTTAGGTTAAAGCTATTCTTACACACAGGAAGACAAAAACCTTGTCAGCAGTGCTGTGAATACCCTGGGATACTAGATCAAGCTTCAAAATACCAGGAAAAACGCCCGATTATCCAAAGCATGGGTCATGTGCTCATATACCAACTGTACCAGAGAAGGGAATGGTGTGTCTGGCTCCTTCAGCTTTCACTGTGGCATTGCATCCCATCAAGACTGCATACAGGGCTGGGGATGTGGTTCAAGCGGTAGCGCGCTCGCCTGGCATCCATGCGGCGCTGGGTTCGATCCTCAGCACCACATACAAATAAAATAAAGATGTTGTGTCCACCGAAAACTAAAAAAAAAAAAAAAAGAAAGAAAGACTGCATACAATGGGGCAACCTGCTATCAGGCCCCTCTCAGCCATAGAGCTCTGCTTCTTTTCTTCTCACTTACTGAAAAACAAAACAAAACTAGGTTAAAAACATCTTGACCCAAACTGGGGCCAAATTTGCCAGAGTCCTCTCAAGGCTCTCATATCCTCAGATATACAATTTATTCACTGATATTCACCCTCTAGCCTGCTGAAATCCTCGCCTCCTGTCGAGATGGGGCAAAATTGCAACATATGCAGTCGAGGGGAAAAATAAAGAATGTCCATGCGCTTCTGCCCCTTTTCAATGCTTTATTCACTCAAATTACTCAATATAGTTTCACTCTATAGGTTCTTAATCAAGAAAACAACAATCCTTAGTGCTACACACTGCAATAGACATAATCAATTCTCAGCAAACAATTCTAGATTAATTCTAAGCACTGCAAAAAAACATTCAATCATGATAGGCTAATGACAGACATTCCCTCTGCATGCTAAGTTCAAAGGTTTTAAGTCTTAGGCTTTGAGTCCAGCAGATGCACACTCACTCAGACCACGGTGATCAGGTCCAGAACCAAGGCAGGCTTTTTCTGGTGTGGAGGAGACAACTGGTTGAGGAGGGGTCATAGGGAGGAGTTGCAGCTCTCTCCAAGGTCCAGATGAGGTGGTAGAGTTTGAGAGCTGTGAGGATCATGCAGAGGCTCAGGAACATGACAAGTGATGGGATTACAGGTCCTCATCAGGCTCTCCAGCTCGAGTGCATCCTTGTTTCAGCTGGCTGAATCCCTGTTCATTTTCTCTATCATTTATACTAAATTTTGGGGCTTTTGACCCCCCTTTCAATCTTTATCAGCTACCACCGGATTTCTCAGTGACATCATTTACCCTGGGGTCAGAAACATCTGGTCTGACCCTCTCACCCGGGTCTCCTTGCCTTTCCCTCTTATCAGAGAAGGACAGCCTGCCAGAGTCTTCACTCTCTTTTATCAGGGTGACAGGAAGTAACTTGTTTGAGGCCATACTGGAGGGCTCTGTGGATGTTGATAGACCCAACCTGATCTTTTCTTAAAATTGGGCATCTCGCCACAAAACCATGAAAAGATAATTTCGGGTTTACTATAAATTACTGCAAATTCTGAACCTGCTTGGAATGCCTGCCCGTGCCTTGAACTCACCCATGCCTGGCTCTCTGACCAGATAGCAGCCCTCTCTGAAACTTAGTGACACCTCATAAATATTGGCCTTCCCTGGCCAGACAACGACCCTCTCTGAGGCTCTAATGGTCCTCATAAATTCTGATGTTGGGGCCAGCAAAAAATGTAAACTACCATTAGTGTGATGCTTGTCAGAGTTCTGTTATCTGTAACCTCCCTTTGTGTAACTTTCGGGGCTATAAAGCTGGGCTGCAGGAAAGCTGGGGTGCTGTCTTGTTCCTGCCGTTTTGGGAGGGAGAGGCAGCCCGGCCGGTTGAAATAATAAGCTTGCTTTAATTTGATTTTAATTTTTCTTTTCTTGTGTCCTGATCTAACAATGTGCCTGGTGAAACTGTAGGTCTTAAAATGGAGTTGCTTAGGCTCAGGCCTAAGGCCATCCTAACACCTCCTCCTAGAGATCCTTCCTAGCCATAGGATGTTTTCATATTTTCTATCCCAGCATCCCATTTAGTCTTCCCAGTTACACAAACTACAATGTGTGATTCTTTTATTTATCTGTTTGTTTACGTCTTCATTGTCTCCTTGCAAAAATTCGTAGTTCCTGATACTTACTCATTGTCCGTCCCTACCCTCAATAAAATGTAGTTCCCAAATGAAAAACGGTCTGTCTTTTTCATGGCTGCAGCCCCAATAGCTGGCACTCTCAGCAAGGATCTGTTGAATGAATAAAAAATAAGACATTGCCTCATAATTTACCAGGGAAGTGGATAGGAAGAGAAAAAGCAGTTTGGAGAGCTGTAAGAGTCTAAACTTTAAGTAGGTATCAGGTGACCAAAAGATTGCTGTAAGATAGAGATTCTTACAATCTAGTCAGGAGGAGGGAAATTAAATGTAGGGTAATGGGCCATCATCTTTAAAGTAATAAAAGAAAAATAGCACTTCAGAATTCTATAACCACTGAAACCATATTACAAAAAAAATGGTGAAATAAAGAACTTTTCAAACATATCAGTCAAGGAGTTTATCACCAGCAGATGCACAGTATGAGAATTATTAAAGGAAGTTGTTCAGGCAAAAGAAAAAAATGACACCAAATAGAAATCCAGATTTACAGAGAACTATGGAGATATAGAGCACTAAAAATGCTGAATATGTGGGTAATAACAAGAACATTTTTGTCCTATTATTCAAAGGGTAGCATCCAAAAATAATATGTTGTGAACTTTTGTAAGGATGGCCTTAGGCCTGAGTCTAAGCTACTCCATTTTAAAACTGCAGTCTCACCGGGCTGGCCTAATGGAGCCCTTCAGTTTGGCCCTCAGGCACAAACAAGTCACTTCTCCCCACCCTGACAAACTCAGAGGAAGTCTCTGGCATATTGTACTCAACCTGATCATGGGAAAAGGCCAGAAAATCTGCGTGGGGATCACCAGACCAGATGCTTTAACCCCAGGGTAAATGACGTCACTGAGAGACCATGTGGCAGCTGATAAGGATTGAAAGCCCCAATATGTAGTATAAATGATGGGGTGAATGAACAGACTTTCAGCAAGCCGGCACATTTTCAGGCACATTGTCAAAGTCCCTGATGAGGACCTGGGCTGACATCCCAATTTTCTCATCATTTGTTTGCCTGATCCTCTGCATTTCCCTCACCGCCTTCAAACTCTACAGCCATATCTTGACCTTGGTGAGAGTCACAACTTCTTCCTAACAAGCCTCCCCTCAACCAGCTGTCAGCTCCACCCCAGGAGAAGCCTGCCTTGTTTCCTGACCTAATCACCATAGTCTGAGTGAGTGTGCATCTGCTGGACTTAAAGCCTAAGGCTTGAGGCTTTTGATCTGACACTTGAACTTAGCATGCAGAGGGAATGTCTGTCATGAGCCAGTCATGATTAAGTGTTTGCAGTGCTTAGAATTAGTCTAGGATTGTTTGCTGAGAATTGATTATGTCTATTGAAATACCCAGCATTAAGGATTGTCATTTTCTTGATTAAGAACCTATATAGGGCTGGGGTTGTGGCTCAGTGACAGAGTGCTGGCCTGGCATGTATGAGGCCCTGGGTTCGATCCTCAGCACCACATACATGTAAAATAAAGATTTTTAAAAATTCCACCTAAAACTAAAAAATAAATATTAAAAAAAAGAACCTATAGAGTGAGATTGTATTGAGTGAATACAGCATTGACAAAGGCAGAAGCGCATGGACATCAACTGCATGAGTCGCACCTTTTGCCATCACGACAACTTTATTACCTTTGTAGCAGTACAATATATGACAATTAAACATCACACTTTTAAATTTACTTAAAAAAGAAGAAATCACAAAGGAAATATCCCACCCACGTCCCACGGTGGTGGGGGTGGGGTTCTCCTGGGTGGAATGGGCTGGCTGAGAAATAAAAGCTAAGAGAAATAGAAGAGTAAAGAAACCACAACAAGCACGGGGTCAGGACAGGCAAGATGATCAGAAGGATGGAGCTTCTACACAAAATGGAGCCTGTGCCTGCTTTATTTATATCAGGAAACACCAAAGAGATCTATAGCATGTTCTTCTCCAAAAAAGGTAAAATGTGGGCTGCTCAGTTCCTAACAGGTTACGTCCATCTTCCGGGCTACTATGAGGAACCTTCCTAGCAGAGCAGAGGGAAGGGTCATGTCCTTTGGACAATCCACTGAAAGTCCCCAATGCCAGGCCTATCTATCCCTGTCTACATGCTGAGAGAAGATCCTCATGTATTCCAAGGATGGATTCCCAAAGAAATAAGCCAAGAGAATAAGAACAAAGTCACAGACTGGTAGAATATATTTTTAAAAGACACACTGAATAAAGGCATATTATCTTGGGGCTGGGAATGTGGATGTGGCTCAGTGGTAAAGTGCTTGAGTATCATGTGCAACAGCCTGTGTCCCATTCCCAGTACTATAGAAATAAAAGCTAAAAATTTCTGTGTAAGACATGGTTAAAAAGAATGAAAAGACAAGCCACACACTATGAGAAAATATCTGCAGAAAACATACTTGATAAATGACTACCATTCAATATACAAAAAGAACTCTGAAAACTTAATAATAAGAAAACAAATAACTTTCTTTTTTAAATGGGCCAAAGCACCTTAAGAGATACCACACCAAAGAAGATACACAGATGGATAATAAACACATAAAAAGATGTTTCACACCATTTACCTTTAGGGAAATACAAATTAAAACAACATTGAATTATCAATGCATACTCATTAGATTGATCAAAATCCAGAATACAGCTGTAAAGGTCGGGTGAACGTCGGAGGAAAAGACCACCAAGAGACTGTCTCATGCAACAGCAAAGGGTTTATTGGGGGTCCAGCATGCTGGGGCTCCAAGCTCACCTCGCAGGGGTAAAGAGCCAAGAGCCCTCAGAACAGCTTGAGCAGTGGCCAACTGTTTCCACAGGTATTGCTGGGTTTTTTCAAGAGCTTTAAGTCTGTCAAGCAAGGGGGTGTGAAAGGAATCATTAAATCTCAGAGTTGGGGTTAGGTCCCTTACTGGAGGAGAGGCACCATAGAGAATTTCATAGGGGGTGAGGTTACACAAAGAGACGGAAGGAGTATTTCTTGCATGAAACAGTGCATAAGGTAGGAGCATAGTCCAATCTTTTATGCCGGTCTCTAAGCTTAATTTCGTTAAGTTATCTTTGATGGTTCTATTCATTCTTTCTACCTGTCCTGAGCACTGGGGTCTATAAGCACAATGTAACTTCCAATTAATCCCCAGGGTCCTGGCCAATCCCTGACTTACCTGGGCCACGAACGCCGGTCTATTGTCGGACCCTATTACCTTAGGCAGGCCGTACCTTGGAAAAATTTCTTCTAGGATCTTTTTGACCACCACCTGAGCCGTTTCTTTCTTCGTGGGGAAGGCTTCGACCCATCCTGAAAAAGTATCTACAAAGACTAGGAGATATTTAAGTCCATACCTTGCTGGCTTAATTTCAGTAAAGTCCACTTCCCAGAATTGTCCTGGTCTGGTTCCCCGTAGGCGCTTTCCTGCAGGAAGCTTGGATGGATAAGCATTAACTAATTGGCAAACTCGACAGGTTTTTGTTACCCGCTCAGCTATTTCTTTTCGCTGCGAGTCAGTCAATGGAAAGCTCTGTTTCTGGTCCTTCAGGAATGCCTGCAGTTTCTTTGAACCAAGGTGAGTGAGTTGATGCACATTTTTAACATAGTTCAGGGCTTTCTGAAATTGTAAGCTAGGCTCAGTGAAGTCATGGAGTTCAGTATCAGTGTCCTCAGATGATAAGTTGCCTGGGTGTTCCGGCGCGGCCAAGTCTCCTGATTGTTGTTCCCCCAGTATGGAAAGGGTTAACATGGTTACTCCGATTAGGGCTGCCAATTTAGCTTCCTCATCTGCCCTTCTGTTTCCAACCACCACGGGGTCGTTTCCTTTCTGGTGCCCTGGACAGTGCACTATAGCTAGTTCCTTAGGGCCCTGCACTGCTGAGAGAAGGCGGAGAATCTCATCCTTGTTCTTTATAGCCCCCTTTGCTGATAAATAGCCCTGTGTACATGAGCGGTAGCAAATGCATAGCGGCTATCAGTGTATATGGTGGCCCTCTTGTCTGTTGCTAGTTCCAATGCTTTCGTAAGGGCAATCAGTTCTGCTCTTTGAGCAGATGTTCCTTCTGGGAGACCAGAGGACCAGATGACATTAGTTTCGCTAACTACTGCTGCTCCAGCTCGCCACTTACCATCCTGGAGGAAGCTACTACCATCCGTGAACCATATGACTTCAGGGTGAGGCAGTGGCTGATCCTTCAAGTCTCGTCGTATGCTGGTTTCTTCTGCCAGTATGTGTTGACACTCATGAGCGACGGGTCCTGATGATTCTTCTGGTAGCAGTGTAGCCGGGTTGAGCAGGGCAGGGGGTCCCAGCGTTATTCTATCCTTGTTGAGCAATAGGCTCTGGTAGCAGGTTATTCTAGAATTTGATAGCCATCTGTCTGGAGGCTGGTGGATAATGCTCTCCAGGGTATGGGGGGCTATAATGGTTAGCTTCTGTCCCAGCGTTAATTTATCAACGTCTTTTATTAGAAGGGCCGCCACTGCTATAGCTTTTAGGCAATGGGGCCACCCACTAGCCACTGGGTCCAGTGTTTTTGATAAGTATGCTACAGGCCTTTTCCAGGGCCCCAAAGTTTGAGTGAGCACCCCCCGTGCTATTCCTTTCTTTTCCTCAATGTAGAGAGTAAAGGGTTTTTCTAGATCCGGGAGTGCTAAGGCTGGAGCAGATAGCAGCACCTTTTTGATATTATCAAATGCTTGTTGGTGCTCGGGGGTCCATTGGAATTGGGCATCCCCCTTTAACAGCGGGTATAGAGGGGCGGCCAGAGACGCGAACCCAGGAATCCACAACCTGCAAAAGCCGGCAGTCCCAAGAAACTCCCTGAGTTGTCTCTTATTGGATGGGGGCGGTATCTGCACAACGGTTTGTTTTCTGGGCTCAGTGAGCCATCGTTTGCCACCCCTAAGAGAATAACCCAGGAAGATTACTTCTTGCTGGCAAATTTGAGCCTTTTTGGCAGAAGCCCTGTCTCCAAGCTGAGCAAGCTCGGATAATAGGGCTTGGGTCCCAGACTCACAGTTCTTCTTGGTGTCGGCTGCTAGTAGCAGGTCATCCACATATTGGAGTAGGGTGACTTCGGGGTGCGTAGTTCTGAAGTCATTGAGGTCCCTGTGGAGGGCTTCATCAAAGAGAGTGGGGGAGTTTTTGAACCCCTGTGGGAGTCTAGTCCAGGTTAGTTGGCCAGATGTTCCTGTTTCTGGGTCTACCCACTCGAAAGCAAACAGCAGCTGACTGTCCTTATGTAGGGGCAAGCAGAAGAAAGCATCTTTTAAGTCCAGTACAGTGTACCATTTCCGCTCCGGATTCAGAGTGCTGAGCAGATTATATGGATTAGGTACCGTGGGGTGAATGTCCTGCACTCTGTTGTTGATCTCTCTTAGGTCTTGAACGGGGTGATAGTCCCCAGTTCCTGGCTTTCTTACTGGTAGCAGGGGGGTATTCCAGGCTGATTGACAGGGCCTTAGGACCCCTAGAGCCAGGTATTTCTGAATATGGGGCCTTATCCCATCCTTAGTTTCTTTGCTTAGAGGATATTGTTTAACACTGATTGGAGAGGCAGAGGCTTTTAATTCTACTACTATTGGAGGTTGTCTTATGGCTAGGCCTAACCCAGCAGTTTCTGCCCAGGCATCAGGATAATCTATCATCCATTTCTGGGGTAGCTTGCCTGTTTGATCAGTCCTGAGGGGGGTGTGAAGAGTTGATGTTCATCTTCTACTGACATAGTCAGGGCCGTGACTATGGGAGTTTTTACTGAGGGATTTAGAAACTCCACTTGGGGACCATCAGGGTTAAAGGTTATTCTAGCCCGGAGTTTGGTAAGCAGATCTTTGCCCATCAATGGGGCCAGGCATTCTGGGATTACTAGGAAAGAGTGGTGGACTTTTCCCTTTCCTATGTCCATAGTCCTCTTAGTTGTCCAAGCCCAATATTTACTGCCGTTAGCCCCTTGAACCAGAGACCTTTTATTTGATAGGGGGCCCAGTGGGGTCTTAAGGGATAAGTATACTGCCCCTGTATCCACTTCAAAGTTCACTGGGGTCCCCTCCACTTCAAAAGTTACCCTGAGCTCGGGGAGGGGATCCGAGCCCCGACTTTCCTAGTCGTCTTCTAGAGTCAGAACGGCAGGCTGGCATGACTGCTTCTTTCTAGGGCACTCTTTGGCCCAGTGTCCTTTTTCTTTACAGTAGGCACATTGATCTGAGGCCAGGGGCAGCCTCTGGCGTGGGCCCAGGTATCCTTCCTGTCTCCCTGTTTCTTAATTTTTGGCCTATTTGTTGTTGTGACCAGGACCCTAGTCAATGCCTTAGTCTGTCTTTTGCTTCTTTCATCCTCACTTTGCTCCCTTTCTTTCTCCCTCCTTTGTTCCTTCTCTTCTTCAGTTTCTCTCTTATAGTATACCTTCTCGGCTTCTCTGACTAAATCTCTCAAAGTCATATCTTGTAATCCATCTAAACGCTGTTACTTTCTTTTAATATCCAGGGCAGCTTGCCCAATAAAGGCCATCGTGACAGATGCCTTTTGATCCTCTGCCTGAGGATTGAAAGGAGTATATCTCCTATATGCCTCCATAATTCTCTCTAGAAACATAGAGGGAGATTCATCAGGCCCTTGAATAATCTCTCTTACCTTGGCCAAATTAGTTGGTCACCTAGCGGCCGCTCGGAAACCCACTATTAAAGCCCGGCGATAAGTGGACAGATGCTCCCTACCTTCAAAGGTGTTGGGGTCCCAGTTGGGTCAGTTCAAGGGGGAGCCAGCTTCAATTATGTTGGGAAGTTTTGTCGGTCGCCCATCTGGTCCGAGGATATTTTTTTAAGCTTCCAGGAGGTTTCTCTCTCGTTCTTTTGTCATGAAGAGAGTCCCTAGGAGTTGTTGGCAGTCATCCCAAGTAGGCTGCTGTGAAAACATCAAAGATTTAACCAGACCTGGCCAGCTTCCTCCAGGGGAGGAGGGGCTGTGTGTGCCACGGGGAGTCATCTGGAGGGCACTGGGCTGGCTTAGCTTCCTCCAATGGCGGAGAGGCTGAGTCAGCAGCAAGGGAATCACTTAGAGGGCGTTGGGGGTTGGGGGACGAGGGCAGGGGATAAGGAGGGGGAGGAGAGTCAGGGAGAACAGAGGGTGGAGGAGGAGGAGGAGCAGAGGGTTTGAGAGATAGAATCGTGGGGGAAGGAGTAGGAGCGGGGGCAGGGACAAGGAAAGGCTTCACCCATGGAGGAGGAGATTCGCAGAGGTCCTGCCAAGTTAAGATATACGGCTGTTGATCTGGATGGCTATGTGGCCCCGGCTGAAAGACAATATCTCTGACTTTTCAAATTAGTGGGAAGTAGAAAGATCCTTCTGGGGGCCATCCGACTCCAAACGTGGGTCATTCTGAGGCACAGAGAGTCTGCCAGGTCCTGCGTTTTACTGAAAAAGAAAGATTCTGAGCCCTTAAGCGGACTTCAGTCCAGTGATCAAGGGTCAGGGACAGAGGCATTGAAGTGCTCTGTCCCATAATGAAAGATACACAAACAGTGAAAGCAACGACACATGACACAGACAAGACAATAAAGATAGACAATGGACGTCCAACACTGAGACCAGGACTGAGTAGCCGGCAAAACCTGATGGGCTGGCAATACCGAATCCGAAACAAAATATCACCGAGTCGAGGAGACTATTGTTACTTGATTTCCCGAGTCCTCTGGGGTGTCCCCCAGGGACGTGGCCTGTGGCTCTGTGACACGTCTGTCAGCCACCGTCGGAGAGAGCTCACGCTCTTCACCGACCGCCACTTTGCCAAGCCCTAACCTGAAACCTGAAACCTGAAAGAGGCACCTTATTTACCCCGAGAGGAGTCCGGATCTCACTGGGGCCTCCAGATGTAAAGGTTGGGCGAATGTCGGAGGAAAAGACCACCAAGAGACTGTCTCATGCAACAGCAAAGGGTTTATTGGAGGTCCAGCATGCTGGGGCTCCAAGCTCACCTCGCAGGGGTAAAGAGACAAGAGCCCTCAGAACAGCTTGAGCAGAGCTTATATACATTCTTTGGAAAGGGCAGGGCCTTCACATACAGCATAACAAATCATCACATGCCGCGGGAAAATCAAACAACAACTCTTAACCATGATTAGTACATTCACTGGCGAGAACAAGTCAGGTAGGGGTGATTGGTCAGCACAAAGAAGGGTATACATTTGAACTGATTGGCTTAAGCCCTGAGGTGTGTATGTGCCGGACTGCACGGTTTCTGGGTGGGGGGGGTTGTTTTTACAGAGCAACCACATGGTCAGGGGAGATTTCAACATACATTTCAGTGGCTTTTCCGGGAGTTGTTTTTACAGAACTTGAAACAAATCTTATCCTTTACATTTCAATTTCTTTAACCTTTCACAGCCAATACCAAAAAGTTAGTGAGGATTTGGAACAAATGTTGCAGTCGTTTTGGGAAATATCTTTCATGTTTTTTTACTATACAATCCAGCAGTTGGAATGCCTTAGAATTTACTAAAAAAGAGTTGAAATTTTATGTTCACCCAAAAATCTGCACTCAATTATTCATAATTGCCAACACTTGGAACAATAAAGATTTTCTTCAATAGATGAATGGATAAATACTACTATTCAATGCTAAAAAGAAATAAGCTATCAAATGATGCAAAGGCATAGAGGAAACTTAAATGCTTTTACTGAAGAAACCAACCCTAAAAGGTTACATTCGATATGATTCTGACCATATGGCAGTCTGGAAATGGCAAAAGACT